GACTGGACGGCAGACAGGGTCCTGAGGGCATGGCTGGTGTGGCGAGGGGTTGGTTGATGATGAGGATGCTGATGACCCTAGATCTTCAGCTTCCAGGCAGGAAAGTGAAGACTTCTCCAGAATCAGACATAGACATTATTCAGTGCACAGACCTGTGGTTTTGGGACTCCTCTCCTCATCGGGTAAGGGACCAGATGTAGGGCTGCTTTCCCCAGGACTAGTGGGAGATGCAGGCGCAGATCCCACTGCCGCTTGGGCGATGTCCTATCTCTCAGTTTGCAGACTTCTCCAGGAATGGTGGGCTCTGCCCTGTATGTGTATTTGGTGCATGGGGGCCGGTAACTGCTGGAGACTGAACGTACAACTGGGTGGGAGGGGTATAAGCTTCACACGCTATTCTCGTATTTCAGTGTGGGTAAGAGCTAAAATGTCACCCTGCCCATAAGTGACTGCAGGTTCTGTTAATGAAGAAACACACAGGGACTATTTTCACCTTTCTGGAAACTGTGATCAGAAGATTCAAAGAGAAGGTCAAGGCACTAATCCAGAGCTGGCAGGAAAGAGGAGTAAGCCCTGCTCAGAATGGCTGGAGAGTTTCTGCTTTGGGCGAGAGCCTGGCCTTGGCCTTGGTCCCAGTTGGCTTCCCTGTGGGTGAGGGACCAGCCGGGGGATTCCCCATCATTCAAGAGCTCACAGAGTGACCCCCTCCTTAGCCCCTCCAGTAGGGAATTCCCCAAAATGTTCCCACACCAGCAGGAAGCCTGCTCTGTCGCCACCCCCAGGCTGTGGTTCATGATAGGGCCCGGACCAGGTAAACCCACAGGTGAGGGTGAATTGTGAACCTTTGCATCTGGATTTGCATGACGTAGGAGAAGAGGGAGGGTGAAATTAGAAAGGCAGCAGGGCTGATGCCTCGCAGAAGATAATTACCAAATATCAAAAGATTTAAACAGACTTCAAAGGCAGACAGGATGGTGGGCAACCTCTGGAGCCAGACTGCCTCACTTCAAACCCTGGTGCTGCAACTTACAAGCTGTGTGACCTTGAACAAGTTGCTTAACTTCTCTGTACCTTAGATTTCCCTCTTGTGCAAAATGTGCTTTATAATATTATTTACCATAATAATATTAATCTTTGCTATTGGGTTAGCAACAATTAAATATAATGATAGCTGTGAGGAACTCAAAGGAGCAGCATTCGATCCATATTAGCTATTAAGTCAAACTACACTATTCACTATTCTTTTTAAGAATTTGGTTTCTACTTATGTTTCTCACTTTAGTTGAGTCTGCATTCCTTCATCGTCATACACACATGAGCACCTTCCCAGCAAGTGGGGCTCAGAGGCTCCAGTTTGCTGATATGCTGAGGTAGTCAGTTTAGAATCTGAAATATTCAAGAGTCGAAGAGGGTTTGGAGATCTTCTGATCCTGTGGTTTTGAACATTCAGTGCGCATTAGAATCCCCTGGGGAGCCTTTACCAACCCCACGCCCAGGCTGCACCCCAGACCGGTTAAATCACGAGCATGCATCAGTATTGGTAGAGCTCCCCAGGGGACCCCACTGATGCCAGCGTGTGGCCGAGATTGAGACTCGTTGTTTTGGTCCAGTCTTCCAGTTTCAAAGGGAGGCAATGGGCTCAGAAAGAGTCACCCAGCAGGATCAGGAGCCCGCCGTTGCCCCGTATTGTGGACCTCAGTCTGCATCTGGAGGAAGAGCGAGCCTGGGGATGGCCCGCCAGCAAAGTAGCCGGACGGGAGCTTCCCTCTCAACTCAGGGCGGGAGGCAGGTGCCCAGCTCTGTGATTGGAGGAGTGCGACCAACTCAGGAATCTTGTATTGTGCTGTGCTTGAGAATCACCCAGACCAAGCCAGAGTTTTTTCTTTGGAGACTGTGGGATAGCCAAGGATTTAGTAATCCCAACTGAATGGCCAGTCTCTCGGGGGAATCAGGTGGGTATGCTAAAAAGTCCAGGGCTGAGCTGGGGGAAGCCCTGAGCCAGGCCCCGCCCTGCTCTGCCCCTGTGTGGTTCTGGGGCATCAGATCAGCCACTCTTCAACGTTGCCGGACCTCTTAGAAACTAGGTGTCTCAAGGTCAGTTCTACAGCCCTTTTCCAGCAGCTGCTGCCACCAGCCTGTAGTCATTTGGATGGGTAGGCGGAGTAGGTTCGTCCAGGGTCTCTGCTGACCCCTTCTGTGAAGTGGGGATAATGAGGGCAGCTGGCCATGCATAGCCGCCTCAGAGGGCCGCTGTGTGGAGCCTGAAGGACCTACGTGAGTCCCTCAGAAAAGAAAGCTGGTTATGCAGAAGGACAAATGCAGGTGCACCCCTGCCCCCCTATAGCAGAAGAGAGGCATGTCAGAAACCAGACTTGACGTCCCAATGCTCCTTTGCTCTTCTCCCTCAGTTCTTGGTTCCCGGCCCCCACTGAGAAGTTAGGGGATATGACTGTTTTGCCTCTGTGTCAACAGCTGCTCCCATGAGCATCTTTGCCAGATGCTCCGGGATGAGCCCTTTCCGGGCCCCAACTGGCCCAGGGAGGGTTGAAGTAAGGGCGGGTGGGGATGTGGAGGAAGGAGGCCCCGAGTCAGCTGCTTCCTCCTGCAAGGGAAGTCAAACTGTTTCTCTTGTTAAGTGGCTAGCTGCATGGCCCCTGGACTGGCAGTGCTGGCTTCTCTGGGGCCCGAGCAGGAAGCAGTCTTGCTCCTCAAGGTAAAGACAAGTTTTTTGTCTTAGGTGGTGGTTTTCTGGTTAGAGGCGGCAGTGGTTAATGAACCCACTTCTAGAGCTCTGGGGACTGCAAGCCGGTGAGGCAGGGACGGGGAGATGAGAAAGCTAGAGAGAGTCAGCGGAGCTTGCTTAGCTGCCAGAGCTCGGAAGGACCTGCAGTTACTTCCCGAAAGCTGGGCCTGCCTCTAGGCGGGGAGAAGGTCAGAGCCAAGACATTGGTCCCTGTGCCCCCGCCTACCCGGTCCCTCCCTTCTGCCTCGGGGTTTGCCCAGGTTCTTCAGAGCACAGACTTTACAGTAAATGTTGTCACCAGTGGAAACTCTAAGAGGGGGCGAGGAAAAGGGCTAGAGGAAGGGACCAGCACTCCAGCCGCCCAGTTCCCGTCTTACCAACACCCCCTACCCCTCCCAGTCTAAGTGTTGTTTTATCTTACCTTTCGGTAAAGAGGGGATGCCCTTTCTCCCGGATGTGCCCGGAAACGACCAAATGGTAAGCTAGCCACACCTTGCAGAAGCAGCAGCCAGTGTCCCGCCCACCACCCACCCCATTTTAGAGATGGGGGTTTCCTTTGTACTTATCTGGGCACATTTCTAGTGCAGAGCCACATACAGGAAATGCCAGGCTGAGGCTGTGCATGGTCACGTCTGTCCTTTATAAATGGTTGGAAGCTGGCTTGATGGGTAACGTCATGGACCCATGGACTCTACCACCTTCCTGGATGCAAGGTTAGGGCGATTGGCAATGTAACTAACTTGTTCATTAGCCTGCATGGGGCTCATGCTCCTGGTGGGTTATTTAAGGCAAACTTCGAACGTCAAGTTATCTTACATCTGCTCACTGCCCATCACAGTTTTGAGTCATCTTCTAGTCCAGCAGGTGATATCATCAACCAGTCAATCAACAAACATCTGATTTCACATGTACTAGATGCAGGCACTTAATGACTGCTTGAATCATTGGAACCAATTTAACATTGCATTTAACTAGTGTTTTCAAACTTGTCTGATCATTAGAATGACCTAGAGCACTTGTTAAAAAAGTAAAATTTCAAAATTCACCTCAAATTCCAAACCCAGTGAGTTTAAATCTCTAGATTTCAGGAAGCACCCGAAACTGTATTTTTAACAAGCCCTCGAATTAAGTTCTAATGATACGGCAAGTTTGGGAAATGCTGACCTAAATCGGATAGAACTAGCGCAATAAGGCCTGGACTTCAAATATTGGGTTGCTTTTTGATCTGAAATGTAATTTATTTGCATCTCCAGAGCCATTTCCCTTCCTCTGTGGGCACCAGTGGTTAATAGAAAAGGTCAGTTTCACTGAGTCAAAGCCCGTGAACCTTGAAGGCCCATTGGAAAAGCAATTCCCCTGGGTTTTCTGGAGGTGGATTGTTTTCCAGTGAACGCTAATTCCAGAGTGTCATTGTTGATTAATAATAACTTTATCAGTAATCAGCACTCCTTACCCTGAGCTTTCTTCACCAGTATAAATCTAACGGCTCTCATAAGCAACAGGGGAGAGGTGTTTCTGGAAAAGAGGGACCACACACCCAGAATGCCATCTGACAGAGGCCCTTGTGTGTGGGGGACAGAGTGGGACCAAGTGCTGTGGTGGACACTGACCATTTAGTGTTGATGAAGACCCCAAGTGTCCTAGAGCCCGGGGGGCACTGGCAGCTCACCTCGGACTCCTTTCGTGAGACTGAGTCCCAGCACTGGGGCCACTCAGACCGTGCGTGGAGTGGCACAGAGCGGAAAAGAGTGAAATCAGAACGGCGGTGTTCTCGTACGCTCTTCCATCTTTTCAGGCTCTGCCTGCCAGCCGGTTTCCTTTGACAGGTACTTGCCACTCTCAGCCCACATGCACGCAGAGACCCAGGTACATGCAGGTACAAAGGAGCCCACTCCCATGTAAGTTCACGCATGCATTCACATCACATGTACGTCTCTTATGGGTTGGGACCGTAAGAAACTTCCCTTCTTAAGGGTCAAACAAACACACACTGACAATTGCATATGGTCTAACCTAACATCTATGCACGTACATGCACGTATACATGTGTGCTTACACAGATGCACCACACACACACACACTGCAAATACCTGTGTGCCCACGTGCGCACACTCACATGTGCAGACAGACTCTGGTGCCCTTCCCCGTGCACATGCCTGTAAGTCCAGTCCGGGCTCCTCCTCTGCTGCTACCTGCGCACCCCCAGACCCCGGGGCCCACCTGACATTAATCCGCACTGCCGATCCTCCCCCCACAGGAGAGTGAAGACCTGGAGAAACAGAACGCGGCTCTGCGCAAGGAGATCAAGCAGCTCACAGAGGAGATGAAGTACTTCACGTCGGTGCTCAGCAGCCACGAGCCCCTGTGCTCCGTGCTGGCCACCAGTGCGCCCTCGCCGCCCGAGGTGGTGTACAGCGCCCACGCCTTCCACCAGCCTCATGTCAGCTCCCCGCGCTTCCAGCCCTGAGCTTTGCCAGAGGTGGGGGAGAGCACGGCCACCCCCAGCAGTCCCCAGCTGCTCCAGCAGGCCTCCGGAGGGGCACATGGACTGTGGCCAGGTGGCCCTCGCCCCTCAGAGCCCTCTGTCTTCCTGGAGAGGCCAAGACAGAGGCCTGGACAAAGACTGAGCATAGGACCGGGGCAGCTGGAAGTGGGTGAGGCCCCCCAGCAGGGTGGCAGCCCATCTGCACGGGCTGGACCCCACGAGGGTGGGGGCTGGACCACATGGACAGAGGCCCAGCCCACAGTTGTCTCAGCCATAGCACCATAGTGCAGGGAAGTATTATTTTTCTAAATAAATATATCAAAAGAAACCAGTTTGGTAGTTTCCCTTGAAACATTAAACTCTGTGGGGCTGGGACCTTTTTTTTGGGGGGGGGGGTTCTTGGACTTTAAGAGCCCTTCAAGCTCTGGGGACTCTGCCAATAGTGCTTATTTTCCATGGTTTATTAACCTACTTGGGAAGCTGGGATTTTCAAAGAATCTTCCATTCTCCCTATAGGCACCTTCTTGATTCTCCTGCCCTAATCACCTCACCATGACCTTCCATTCCTAGTTGCCTCACACTTTCCAGATTGTCAGCGGGTCATTCTCTAGACTGGGAGAAGGACCAGTGCAAGATGCCATTTGGGGAATGGTCCTTCAGACTGATGCTCCCATTCGTCCCCGCAACACGACCACACTCACTCCGCTCCCTCCAGAGAGCCGGCCTGGATGACCAGGCCCCGTGCCGGGAATTCTAGTAACACAAGGGCCACACCTCACATACAAGATAACGCTTTTTTCATGCTCTCATGGGGCAGCAGGGACACAGGGATGGTCCTGCCAGTGGGTCTGCGTGTCCTGCTGAAGACGCCACCTCCCTCAGGGAGCCCCATTCAGCACACACAGCTTTGCCCGACACCACAAGGCCCCACAGGCTGCCACCTGGAGCTCAGTTTGAGGGCAGCGGTGGCTCAGGCAACACCAGCTGGCCTTCAGAGCTTCAGACTCACAGTTTTGGCCAATCCTTAAAGCAGTCCTCAGAGACTGCCCCAGCCTGAGTGCCCGCTGGCCTGCACCCTGTAGCCTTACCACGCCACTGCCCAGGAGCAATGGCAGGGCACCCCCCACCACGGCCCCTGCTGAGTCAGCTGGGGACAGAACTGACGGGCGTTGTGTGGGATACCCTTCAGCAGCTACTCTCAGCCTTATCCCTTGGTCCTTCCAAGGGATTGCCACTGCCCACTGCCTTCCTGCTGGCAGCCATCTGGGGACGTGATGACCACAGGAAGAGAGGGCAGCTGGCCTGTTCCCTTGTGCCAGGACGTCCTCAACTGTGGGCCAACAGTTTCAGTTTGTCGAGGCAAGGTCTGAACTTGACCTCTCCCGTGCAAGTCTCCCCTCCTTCGCTGGAATGATGGCAGTGTTGGGCTAGTGTGATCACTAAACTCCGCTCAGGCCTGGAATCAAGCTGCGTCCTCACCTGACCTCCAATGGCTCCTCCCATTGGTGGGAGGAGTCCAACTCCAGGACCTCTGAAGGTGCATTGCCACCGTTGGGCCCTCGTCCTTGAAGCTGATGCATGTGGATGTCCAAAGTGGGGGAACTGGGCTCAGAGCCTGCTGCGGAGAGCCCAGAGGCCTGCCCCTAGGATCAGCACTGCTTCCAAAGCAGAATCTGGCATTTTAACCTTTGGTCTCCCAATAAAACGTGGAAATGGGGCTCTTCTCCCAGTTCACGGGCTCATTGTAGGCTGGGGTGTATGATGAGGGGCAGTGGCAAGCAGGACCTCTCCCATCAATTTCCTCCAGGGCCTGGTTTTGGGTGGCTAATGCTCTAGGTGGCTCTTGCCCTTTACACAGAGCAAAGAAGCCAGTGGTCACCTCAGATGTTGCATGCATCGAAAAGAATTGATTTTTCTTTCAGTCTTAAGAAGCAGAACTTCAGAACCTGCTTTCTCTAGAGCCAGCTCTGCCAGGCCCTGGCTTCTCATGGGAGTCTGGAGCAGGCTTCCTTCCAATCAGAGATTTCTCTCCCCTCCCCTGCTCGAGCGTAGTGATTTCCCCCCAGAAACTCCCACACGAGACACATGATCTGGGCGGAGCACCTTTTGAATGACATGCAGGGGCAAAACTGGAAATGCAGAGCTCACGTGCGCAGTTCCCATCTCTCGGCAAGGACTTCTCTTCCCCTTTCTTTCTCCACTTTCTAGTGACCCCAGGCGGTTTTACTTCTTCTTTCCGATCCCTGGTAGAGGCGGCAGAGGGCTGAGCCTGGCGTGAGTGCCAATGCTAATTTCACCTCCTCACAGGGAAATTGGAGGGACAGTTGTGAATAGATTTCAACTTTCAGAGTTTGGGCCATGAATGTCCCACCAACCAGGTTCTGACCCAGTCTCCTACCCATAACAGGGATAGCTCCTTCAGGCTGGTGCGCCACTGACCTGCACTCAAATGCCTCCAGGGCCTGGGCAGGCACTGTAAATACGTGAAGCTCACTGGTCATAGGGCAACTGGGAGTGGTGGGGAGTGTGGCAAACTGAGGAGTAAGTCTATAGTAGGCAGCTGCCCCTCGGTTCTATCCCATGCTGCCATGCGGGAATTCAGACCCAATGTTATCATATCTTTCAATTTGTCAAGAAAAGCCCAAGTTAGAATTTCTACATGAAACCTTCCAATATCTAAAACACTCTGCAGACCAAACAAAATATGTTTGTAGAGCAGGTTTACCTCTAAAATCTCGCTTTTGCAGGCGAGAGTATAAACAGAGGCCACATACCATATGCCTAAATGTTTGTGCATTATAAATCAAGCTTATAAAATATATTAAATATGTTAAACAAAATACATTCTTTCTGACTACCTTGACAAATATACCTTCATAACAATCTGGAAGGCAAGGTTTGAGTTTAGAATGTTTAGATGCTTCAGAACTTTGTATTATTAGCACAGGGAGAAACAGCCCCCCAACCGCAGCCCGTGCTCTCCTTGTCCCTCCCCTGCCTCCTCCTCATGTTCACGTTGGTAAACACATCAGCCTGCAAGACGGGGTCCCACGCACACCTGTCCCACACAGACAACTGTCCCTGAGCCACCCCTCGGGTCCGAGGGTGCACACGCCAGTGGTCTGGTCTACTCCAGAGAAGGAGAAAGAGGGTTCCTGGAAGCCAGCTCAGGGCCACCCAGGCAGGGGATGCTGGTGTCCTGGGTGTGCGAGGCAATGGTCTAAAAGGAGAGAGGGGGCGTTGGGTGGGCACGCACCCTCAGTCCTAAGGACTCTTGGCCCCGTGGAAAGGCTACACAGCAGGCGGAGGGCCCGAGCTGGCCCCTGTAACGTGGAGGGTCCCGAGCAGGGACCTCTTTTGCCCAGTCCGAGGGAGGCACTGCAAGGGCCGCCAGTCTGCAACCCGGATCCAGGTCAACACTGTCGCCCTGGAAAGCCCAGGCTCCAGGCAGCGAGCATCGGTGTACGAGGGCATCATTGTCGTCCGGCTCTTTGATGTGAGGGCTCCTGGAGACGCTCGTTTCCCCGCTTTCCGTCTGGCGTTTATCTCTTACCAGCAGCGTTATTCCCTGAGCGACGTCAAAGCAAATTACAGGAAAGCCAGATGTTTCGTCTTCAGGTTGAGGAGTGTGGGCGGTGGGGAGAAAAGGGGAGGCCAAGTCAATGCAAAGGTCACAGGGTTGCCATCTACTGGACCCAAACTTACCAGCAGTGTTTATTAATAACTCCAACCAATGTCCCAGTCGTCACTGTGGCTTTACAACGAAGGAGGTGAGCCGGCTGGGTGTCCTACTTCTTTCCAGGACACACAGGCTGCCTCCCTCTACTGCTCTGGCTTCCTTCTCCAGACCTCACGTGTTTCCATGCCCTAAAGGTGCTCGGGATGCCCGGGGGGGGGGGGGGGGGTTGGGGGGGTGAGGGTGGGAGGGGGGAAGGGCTAGTGAGCTAAGAGCATCAGAAAGGTGTTAAAGAGGTAATCATCTCTTATTCCTGTCTGCGGGAACTGTCACTTTAAGATTTTATTTATTTGTTTTTAGAGAGAGGGGAAGGGAGAGAGAAAGAGGGGGAGAGAAACATCAAGGAACAGAGAAACATCTATTGGTTGCCTCTCATATGCACCTGGAGCTGGGACCGAACCCATAACCCAGCTATGTGCCCTGACCAGGAATCGAACAGACAACCTTTCAATTTGTGGGATGACGTTCAACCAACCTCAGTTCTCACACTGGTCAGGGTGAGAACTGGCATTTTCAAAGGCACCTTGGGAGAATCATGCTTGACCCAGAGGAAGTAAGGACTAATGGTGGCATTTTAGGCTTTGCAGCAAGTGTGTAGAGAAGATACGTGATGGAATTCTTGTGATGTGGATGGCTGGCCACTGCCCTGGCCCAGTGTGAGTACTGGGGGAATGAGATGGGTGGGAAGGGAATTAGTGACATGTCCCTGTTAAAAATCTTGTCTTTCAACTGCTTGCTGTGTGATTTGCATTTATCTACTTGATTCTGGTTTAAAGAATCTACCGGCAGACAGAAATAAAGAGCCTCCTCTTAGGGGAATTCACTAGGGAAATTTGCACAGCAAATTTCATTGCTGCCTGGAAGGTTTGTCTGGCTTCTTCTGATAGATTCCTGGCAAGAGACTGGTGAGCTTGTCACTGTACCCAGAATCAAAGTTGAGGGCAGTGGCAGACCCTGACAACAGACCTCTCAAAGCCATTCTCCTCTTTTTTTCTCACTCCAGGATCCTCACTTGGTCTAGGATGGCAATGTGCCCAGCTAAACAGATTACATTACTCAGACTCCTTTGCAGCTAGAAATGGCCATGTGACACAGGCCAGTGAGATAGAAGCAAAAGTTGCTGAATAGGGCTTATGGGAAAGTTCTTTAAAGGGTGGGACCACCTCATTTGGTGCATGCCTTTCTCTTTCCCGTCTGGAAAGCAGGTATGATGTTGGAGGTGAAACAACCATCTTCAAAACATAAGACAACCATGCGTGCAAAGGAGGAAACGAGATTCTGTGTCCCCCATAATGCAGCAGAACCGTGCTGCTACACGCTGCCTCTGGCTTACTGTTAAGTGAAAGTGGCAAAGAGCTGATTTGGTTAAGCTACTATGTACTGAGTACTGCCTACCTAACTCTGCCTAATGCTGAAGCCAAGAGAACAAACAACTGAACGGGGAATTTCAGCTAGTCCCCCGAAGTCAGTGGCTCTCAGCTGGGAGTGATTTTGTCTCTCAAGTGACATTTGGCATTGGTGGGAGACATTTTTGGTTGTTACAACTTGGGAGACAGATGCCACTGGCATTTAGTGGATGGGGACAAGCGATG